AGGAACCGTCAGAAAAAACAAGCAAAACAGCTCCATTTCTGAGAAGAAGCTGCAATTCCTGCAGGGCAAGTGCACTCTCACTCTGTGAAGGCTAACACACACCTCATTCTGGTCAAAGGCTATTTTTTGACTGGATCTGGTAGTATTTAAGGCTATCTCTAGTTAGGACAAAGCCTGAATAGCTCTTGGTATGTTGAACAAGGGATATCCCCAAGTTGCTCTTTACACTGCAGTACCTCACTGCAACACTCTTGTGGGCTTTGCACAGACAACATGGTGGTTGTCCCCCCAGAGTCACTGGAAACCTCTCCCTGCTGTGTGAAAAGGCTCCTCTTTCTTCAAAACATCATTACTCCAAAAAATCATATACATCTGCGGCTTCCTGTCAGGGTGGGAGAAGAGTTTTTGGTCAATGTCTCATGTTTCTGAGCACACCCTCCAGTGCCTTGGCCAGAGCCCTCGGTATAACTTTCTGCTGAGTCAGGCTGCTGGGTTTCTTATCCCAAATCCCATATCGTGTGGTTTCAAGTACTCCAGGCATTTTTCAAAGACAGTTTGAAACCCAGCCAAAACCACAGGGTGTGTGTGTGTACTTGCAGTTGGGCTGGTTGTCTCCCAGGATGGGCAAGCTGGGCTGCAGCTGACAGGTGCAGCCATCATCCCAGGGGACAAAACCCTGACCCCAAAATCAAATGAACTTTGTGATTTCTAGCAGCAGCAAATGATCCTATTGGGGATTATCTGACCACCAAAACTACAGTGGGTTGGCTGAAGGGTTGAAGTGCAGAGGCTCATGTAAATACGCATTTGCAGACTGCAGTGGATGCAAGACCAGGCCTCCTCCCCAGGCCCAAACCCACCACCAGCTGGTTTCACTCAGTGCTCGGAAGTCCCCAGTCCTGCATTTAGATGTCTGCCCAAGACACAATAAAATAGAGCAAAGGCAAATGTCCAATGTAGAGATCCATTATGCTTTATTTACATGCGTCACCATCTCTTTTACAAACTAGATTACAATTTAAAATGGAATACACAAGGCAATATCTACTAACACCAAGTGGAGTAAGCACTGCGTTTCTACTTCGTTTGGAAAGGGGCAGGTTTTGCTCCAAAACAAACTTCCTTCCAACCTCTGTGTAGTATATTCCTCCAGGGCAGCATCTTTTTTTTTTTTTTTTTTTTTTTAATATAAAATCCTCAGTAAGACTGCAACATGAGAGCGTCTGCTTTCAAATGAAAGTACAAGATAGCCCAAATGAAAAGTATAAACTGTTCAGCTCTTCGGTATGTAAGACGGCCATGCGCGATAAGGCTGTGGATTTAATATTCTTCCAATTTACATGGCTTGAAACAAAAACAGATAAAACAGTTTTACAGATACTGTATACATATTTTTTCCAATCATGCAACTTTTTTTTAAAAAAAAAAAAGTTAAACATGTGAAGCCAAATGTACAATCCATTTTTTCTAACCAATAGTAACAAAATGTATCTGGTCCCCCTTCGCATCTGTTGGCAATTCCTAAGGTATATCGTGTACTAGAAACACTTACAGGACACCGACTGCCAAACAATGACATCATTTTAGAGAAATACATGACCTAAAAGGTAACTTTTTGAAGCGGTGGCACAAAAATTTCTGGAGTTAAGCAGTGGTCAACTATCTGATTATTCTCAAGAGAAAATATTTTTTACAAAATCATTAAATCAAGCCCCAGACCTGTGACTAGGAACTGCATAAATGCCACCTTTTTAGAACTCCTTTTTTAGACTAAGTCTTTAAACAAGAACTATGTCATTGTTCTGGACCATTATCTGTTTTACACGGTTCCAGAAGGAAAGCTTCTAGGCATAAACATGTTCAAAGACTGAACAAATTTTCAAAAGATAGGTTCCCAAAATTAGCCATTCAAGCCTGTATTTTGACACCTAAGTAAGTGGCCCTTTGAATTCAGCGAGATTTATTTAGCACCTCTGGAGAGGAGGGTGTTTGCTGGGCACCTCAGCAGGCGTAGAAGGTGGTGACCTTCCCCTGGGCCTGGGGGGACCTGGCACCTCTCCTTCCTTCAAGAAGCGATGAGGACAGAGCAGCTCTCCCCCTGTGACCACACTGGAGTCCCCGACATTAGGCGCCTGACACCAGGCACTTCTGTTTGAAAATTTTGGCCCCCAAAACGAGCAACAGAAACCAAACCAATCTGAAGAGGTTGGCCAAGTCCAACCCTCTTCAGCCAGTACTGGGATGTTCTCCAAAGCAGGGGCCCAAGGTATCCCAGACATGCCAATGGAATTGCTTTCGTTGACATTGCTGGGAGGCAGGTCAAGCCTTTTAGCTGCTAATGCTTTTATTTATTTATTTTTTTAAAAGTTCTCTGTCGCTGATGGGCTGTCTCTAAATCAAGTGGGTTTTCTCCATTTTCTGGACAGAGTGGACCATAGTTCTCTTTCATTTCTGCCAGCGGAAATGAGCTCCCCTGAACTCAAGGGGGTAGGCTGCTGTAGCACAGCAGAAGTTGCCCCCACTACCTTTAAGCTATTGGGCCTTCCCTTGCCTTTGACAAGGACCATATCCATACCAAGAAAAGCAATGATGGATTTTGGTCACCTTGGCCATACCATCAAGTCAGGCTCTTACTGGTGCTGTCAGTGACCCAGTTGGTGGTTCTCTGGGCAGGCAGCCTGGGTCTCACCAGAGGCTCACCTGTGCTGCGGTCAAATGCTGTGCCCCGACATTGTGACCCAGCAGGTGAGCTCTGCTGGTGGCTGAGACAGCAGGGCAGGGAGACAAGCCCAGCTCCAGGGCGGCAGCTGTGGAGAAGCCTCAAGGAAAGGGGGACTGGAGGGAAGCCCCTCAGAGTACACTCATATTTTGGGGTTTACTAGGAAGCTGACAGCTAATGCTACACGCTCAGAGGAGGCTGGTGATAAAGCTCTTTACCGATTTTGGTAAAAGGTGCCTGCAATAGGACTCTGATAATCAAGGCGACCTCTAGCCCAAGTGACCACTGTGCCACATGGGTGTCCTGGGTAGCTGGTTGCTGACAGATGGGCAACGAGCATCAGCTAACTAACTCCAATACATGTAATAAACTAGTTCCCATGCTGGCAAATAAGACCACTGCAACGGAAAAAGAAAAGAGAAGTCTTTTTTAAAAGGTGAATGACAAACCCTTGGCTGCTTGGAAGAGTTGATATGCTACAGGGCTACAATAACCACAACTGCACAGAGTCTACACAGTCATAACTGCGGGGAGAAACCAAGAGGTGCATCTTTACGAGAGAACAGCGTGGGGGCTACGATACAAAAACAAAACTTCCATCACACTAGGAGCTGTTGTTTCACCAATATCACCTCAGGGACCTGGAAAGTAAGGAAGGAGGAAGGGCCCATGAATGCATGTGTGTGTGTGTGTGTGTGTGTGTGTGTGTGCACGCGCACGCGCGCGTGTGTGTGTATATGCCTGTGTGTGCAGCGGCAGTGGAGAGAGAGAGTCACTCCACTTTGCATGGCACACAGGTCAGTGGGAACTCATGCACTGAGACTTTGGGTTAAAATGCTAGTTTGTTTTCCTAACATCCATGCATAATGATCCATTTCTGTACATAATAAAATATATTTATATATTTATATGCATAATGCTTTTATGCAAAGAAAAAAAACCTTCATATATCGCTTTGGAGAATTATGTATACACTGTCCTATTCAGAACCTCTTCATACCGAGTTCCTATGTACCACTGGTGTTTTCCCCTCTTTTTTTGCATCCCTCCCCCCAAAATACTAATAAAAAGTAATCAAACTTTCCAGATTATAGAGAGGATCTATACAACACCATACCTTTAATTCATTATTATTATCATTATTATAAATTTTACAAAGAAAATCTTAGAAGCAAAATATATAAAACTGCCTTGTCTTTCAGTGTCATTTAGCCTGTTACAATCTATGCTCATATGAAAAGCCATTTGTATGATACTGTCACCTTGCCATTCCCTCTCCTGCTTCTTCTGCCACAACGGATTATACATCACGAGAAGGAAAAAATAATCAAGGATATGTCCAAAACAAAGAAACAAAAACGATTGCTGATGCAGTGACACACCCTGCAACAACCTGCACCTCAACTCCCGCCATTTCCACTTCAAGTCACCTGCCGATGCCCAGCCTCTACGCTCAGCTCTTCTGCCAAGTGGCAGGCTTCCCTTCAGTTTCTCTTTGTCAAATACATTTTTATAGGTGGCTCTGCTCAACTAAACTCCTTACCAGCTCGCTTGGCAGGCGCAGCCTTGCTAATGTAAGGCAGGAAGGGAGCCTGCTCCGGTGGGCAGCAAACGGGCTCCTGCCTCAGTGCCTGTGCGGCAACGGCACCCACTGGCCGGCCGGCCTCACAAGCCAAGAGGCCAACTCGACGGCTTCCCTCGGTTTGCATCAGCCCTGGCTTGACGTTTATGGAGAGCAGGGGTGTACCATTCAATTTAAGGAAAGAATAAGAAAGAAACAAACCAACCAACCCAATAAACAAAGAGACCACACACATCACCTCTCTCTGGAATTCAGCGGCGTGATTGGTGTAACAAACACCATATATTCAGAAACCCCTGACGTCTGAACAGTGTTGGGTTATGATCATTTCCTTGCACGTGCACAGTACTTCAGATTCCCCAGGGAGAGAAAGCAAAAATGGTCAAAAATCTAAGGAAATCAAACTGGAGGTTGTAGCGGGGAGGGTGGGCAGATGGGAAAAACCTCCAAAAAGAAAAGCCAACTTAAAACATCCCATAAACCATTAATATATTGAAACACCACATACTCATTGACAAGTAACTACTGTAAAAGCTACACAGTGTGTTCTCAGCAGGATGGTGCTGAACATTGTCTCCACAGCAGGTGCTTGACCATCCCAGAAAAGGAAGATTTTGCATACTTCAGAATGAGTTCAATTCCAAAAAAAAAAAAAAAAAAAAAAACAAAACCAAACAAAGGAAAAAAAAAAAAAGAGAAGAGGATCTTCACTCCATAAAGGGCCTATTAACAGTCTGCTTCATTAGGAAAATAATGCAGGGTTCACAAAGGTCGTAAGCTGTAAACAGTATCACTGTCCACTTGCTGACAGCAGATTTGGCAAAGGATTCTTTCTACATCTCGTGTCAGTTTGAGGGCCTGGAGAGGAAGAAGAAAAAGAAAAGATGGTGAGACTGCTGCATATAGCAAAAAAAACCACAAACAAGTAAACCTTCAAACACAACAACGGCTTACACTGACAAGAAATTCTGATTTATTTGCACCCAGAATCTTCAAACTTACAGCACAGACTAAGTTGCACCATGACCCTGACTGAAAATGCATCTCCCTTGCCAAGGTTTGAGTGTGCTGCTTTGCTGGCTTAGCTATTCTCAAGCAACAAAGAAAAACCCCTCTCTCCAAAGAAAAACACTGGCCAATTCTGATTTACAGAAACCCAGTGCATCATCTATTTGTTAAGTTTATTTCCAGATGAAGCACAAAAGGGTTTGCCAGCTTTTCTCCATTTTTTACAATCATTCTTTCTCAGCATCACCAAAAGCCTGGACAAATCTTCGTCAAATCGGCATTTGACATTGACAACCACGCCTGAAGGACAGCTGTAGGAGGTTACTCAAGAGAGGCAGCGAGGAGCCATGAATTTTGGTTTGGATTTTGGATTTCTCCATTTTCCTGTTCCTATGACACACCATCAGCAGACAGGGTCCACCCAGCTTTCATAATGAGTTTAGAGTCCAGCTTATTCTGTAGCCATGAAACTTCTCTGCAAAGGGAAAGACGCCTTGGATGCAGCATGGAGATGACTACAAAGGGACATGGTAAGTAGATAAAACACTGAAAACAAATGAACACTTCAATCAAAGGGGTCAAGGGGCCAGGTTTTTAAAGGTACTCAGTGGCTTAAAGATACAGGCAGGCACCAAGTAGGGTTTTGGAAAGTATCTACATTTAAACATTTCCATTAAATCCTTTCACATCTCCAGAGAGTCCACTTTGTAGCCATCTGTGTTGCTGGGCATTTAACTTCTGGCTCTGAAACACCTTCTGAAACTAGGGCTTAGTTCCCCACACCACTCACAACCTGTTGAGGACTTTGGCTGAGATGAATGATCGGTGATTTTTTAATACAGTGCAAGAACAAGGGGACACCTACTAAACCCCAAAAGCCATTCGAACTGGTTACAGGAACCTCTTTACTCCCAAAAGATCCTGGCATCAGGCACCCTCACAAAATATGGTGGATTTAGGGGGACTGATGGATTTATCTGGACCAGTGTCTCCTGCAAGGAGGATCATTCAAAGGCTGTCATGAGATGATTCTCTATCCCTGCCCCTCTCCTAAGGTGCCAGACACTGATCCTGTGATAACATTTTATTAAAATGACCTATTCTGATAATGCTAAATGACCGATGGAAATTTAATCATTTTGTCTCATGGTTATTAGAGCAACAGCGTGACAGCTGCTCCCTGCGCCATTAGGGGAGAACTTCATTCAGCACAGCTTAGGGAGCAGACAGATTGTGCGTTTCACCCAAACAAAATTTGGCTTTAGCCTTAATTATGTAGAGGGTTTTGGGGTAGACTGTTTTGTGAATAAAGGGATTTCCTCCTGGATCAACATATTGATTTCTTCATTTTCAAAGGGCAAATTAATGCTAGCCATTCGTTAATGTGACTGCCTGGCAACAACTCCATTTGGTAAGTGTGTCCTGATGGCCGTAACAAGGTCAGGAGAAGAGACCCAGACAGGCCTGATAGCCTGCAGTGAAAACTGGCTGGTGGCTCGTATGCAGCTCAAATGAGTGCATGCTCTCTTCTCTATTTCTCATTAAAGCCTTAGCACCAGGGGGGCTGGAAACCAGTGACTTCCCAAAGCACAGCCTCATCCAAAGGCAAGGCTCGGGTCTCACGTGCCACAGCCTGGCAAGCTACCTCCCTCTCATGTAGCCACCAGTCACACTGAGCCTGGGCTTATCTTCAACATGTGTGAGAAGTCTTGCTGACTTTGAATGAAGCCATTAATTAAAAGTAAAACAGCACCAAAATGCCCAATGAAGTACCAGAGTAATGTTTAATGTTTAAATTGGAAATGTATGTAAAATATTGTACTATGAAACAAACTGACAAGAGAAAAAAACTGAAGGATGGATGATGGTAAGCATCATTTGTGAAGTGGCACTGCCTGGTATTTTTTCCCTGAGGAGACTTATCCTTCAGACAGTGCCAACATTTAGGAGACAGATGCAAGGCTGAGGTGAAATTTCTGCATAGCAGAACCAAACCATGATCCATTTTCATAGCTCTGTTTACATGGACTTTCCAAATGGATTAGACAATGAAAAGACAGATCAAAGTCTTAACCTGCTTGCTTTTGAATTACTCCATTAAATTTCAAATGATCCCCCAACACTGTCACTTTCTGTCTCACCACAAAAAGCCTCTGTTAACTCCTGCTGCTTCACAGCAGCACGAAAACTGTCTCAGCCAGGGAAGCAAGCACTCCAGTTACGTGTCCATTTATCAGTGGTCCTCAACCACAACTCCCCAGAGCCTCTCTATCCCTGCCCCCAAATATCTCCAGCTGCATCTTGAGACACCACAAGGTTTTCTCCCATTCCTGACGGCTGTGGGAAAAGCTCATCCGCTGGAGTGTCACCCTGAATCTGCAGAGGCAGATGGGGTTTCTCCTCTGGTGAGCCAGAATAATGCTGTCCTCTTAGGGCAACATGCAGCTCTCCAGGTAAAGTACTCCAGTCCCCCCTTTATCCTTTTTCTTGGCCTTTACTATAGGGCCGTGTTTTGGGGGATAAGGGCAGCACAAGTATGAGCACAGGGAGCAATGAAAAGATACATACAACAGAGGTCAAAGAGGGACACAAGAAATGTGAAGTATAGCAGGGCTAGTGGGTTAGAGCAGCGTTTGCTACCTTGCCACAGCAAAGGTGTAGAGCCCTCTCTTATGTGTGGCATGGTTTCTTGTTTCTTAGGCTGAAGGGAACTTCCAAAATGGGCACTACTGGAAAACATCATCTGCCTGTACTTCTTAAGACACTTCCTGGAAAATTAACTGTTCTCCCTTGTAAAGCTCCTCTGCCAAACCTGAAGCCCATTTTCAATCAGGGAGTGGAAAGGAAGGAGGAATTGTAGACTTTCTCCTACAGTTTCATACACTTCCTTTTCTTCTGACTTTCTTCTGAAGAAAGCAAAGTCTTTCTTTGGAGTGCAGTCTTCACAACTGCATTGATACCTGGGCTCTGCCGCACACATACATACACACTGAAAATAGAGGCAATTCCACTATGGCTGTTTTCAACCCCTAGGTACAGAAGCCTGGAACAAGATACATCTGCTGGATGTTAGAAGACTATATAGAACTATACCAAGCTATAGCTTATGTGAGCATATATGCATGTGGTTGGTGAAAATAATGACTTTAAAACAGGAACAGAGAACGCATTAAGTGAGGGGTGAGGACACACTCCCACTTTGTCACATCCCATAGACATTTTGAACCCTAGACACTAAACCTGTTTATCCCATTTGGTAGAAGAGCGTAAACCAAAAAGCAAGTATTTATGTATTTTCTAACTCTTCAGCTTGCAAGCAATTATGTGGGAGATGAGATCCCCCCTTCTTCTATCCTTTTCTCTGCGCTCCTGTCCTTCTACCTTGCTACTGACCAGTTACAAATGCTATTCTTGCTTTACTCTGTGGCTGAGCAGTTGGTTGTGATTTTCCTCCAGCAACAACATTTCCTCACCCCTGTCTCACATCATTCCACCACTTAACTGGAAGGCCATCTCCCAAGACCCATGCCAGCTTGTGCACCGTCAGAGCAGCTCTGAAGGATCATCTGCCACCTGTTGCTTTCTCCCTTTGATTCCCAGTGGTGCCAATTATGCAGTACTGGAAATTGTTTCAGGATATAAAGGTGATGCACTGATGCTCCCCAGAGCCAGGACAGATAACGTGCATCGGTGGTAAACTTACCAGTGAGCTAATGTAACCATCAGCACATACAGTTTTGTTATATGAAAAGGTATGTGCTCTTTTATGTAACTATGGTATGAGAGACCACACTACCAAGACACAGCTCCTCTGTACGGCAGCCTACCAAGGACCTCCCGATTTGGCTGGAATGCTTGTTGAATGGATTGCATCTTAAAAAATATCATCACTTACAGGTCTGTAAAACAAGTGTGTTTTCTCTGGGTACCATTCCACAATAACTTCCCCAGGACAGGAAATAACTACTTTTACTTTACAAAGACTTGAGATGCAAACATTTTGAAGGAAACCTGCATCCTTTAGTGACAGATGTGCATTAGTTTTGGTGCCTCTGTCTCTTGATTTGTCATTGTCACCAGCAGTACAGCTTCTACTCCAAAATGGGGGTATGCCCAAAAAGCAAAACTTGAGTATGTGTGGTAACAAGTTAATATTCTGCCTGAGGTTTCACAGTTCAAGACTGAAGAATCATAGAATAATAGAATGGATGGGTTGGAAGGGACCTTAAAGATCATCTAGTTCCAATCCCTCTGCCAGGGGCAGGGACACCTCCCACTAGACCACATTGCTCAGCTCCCCATCCAACCTGCTCTTGAATACATCCAGTGATGGAGCATCCACAACTTCCCTGGGAAATGTGTTCCAGTGTCTCACCACCATCACAGTGAAGAACTTCTTCCTTACATCTTACATAAATTTACTCTTTTCCAGTTTGAAGCCATTACCCTTCATCCTATCACTACAAGCCCTTGTAAAAAGAATACACAGTATTTGTTCAGAAACAAGTAAGGAAGATAACTACTGTGGCCAATCTAGTTACAAAATTGCAGCATGAGTTTTTTTTTATTCAAGCAGAATAAAAAACAGGAATCCAAATGCCATGCCAGACACGCCACATTGGCACCCTACAGCACTGGCACCTCACAGACAGCGTAGGCTGCACCAGGATGGCTCTTTGCTGAGGCAATGCTGAGGACAGGGTGCAAAGCCCAAGAGATAAAAAAGAGCAGGTGACTTAATGTGCTTTCTTTCCTGAACTTCCATGCATGTTGCAACTTCACTTATTCTCTTTAAGTTCTACTCATAAAAATAGGTCTTTTTCAGGTCAAAATAGGGGCAGAGAATGAGG